AGTTGGACCAAAAAAATGTACCCCGACTGGAACCAAATTTGTCCCAATCAGGGAGTGGCGTGTAAAATCCCACAAATCCGCCGTCCTGCGCACTAAATCGATCACCAACAAAGAAATTGAATCCTGAGTCACACCCATGTCTTCTTCTCCACTTCTTCTCCTATAAAAGGAACCCAATCTCATCCATATCTTCATCAAATTCCTTCAAATAAACTCTAAGAAGAAGCTGTGAGTGTAGAGAACAAAGTTGTGCTGTCAATTTGAGGTGAAGTCGCCGGAGCTAGCCACAAACCTCGCCGGAAGTTTCACCAGAAGTTTCGCCGGAAAATTCTCAAAACCTTTAATAAGCTTCGAGGTAAGCCCGTAGATATATCTAGTGACTACAATGTTCGTATAGATCGTTTCCACGTTCATAAACGGTCATTTGGTTGAGTTTTGTGTTTGACATGTTTGAAGAACCAAGAATCATAAACCATGAAATTGATGTTAAAACTATGAATTAATGATGCCAAAACGATCTATGAACCTTGGACAACATCTCTATATAGTTTCGTTGAAGTTCGATAACTAAAAATGGTATTTTTGAAATTGGACCTGAACGAAGAAGAAGATGAACAGTGGCTGAAACACCACTGTCTGGATCGATCCAGGGGCTTGGATCGATCCAGAGGGCTGGATCGATCCCCCGAAGTTCTGATCCGAAAATTTGTCTGAAATTGCTATTTTTGAGCTCTAAAATCCTATTTTTGATACCAATGGATTATGACCATTATAAAAATGATTTACCATAATACAAATGATGTTTTTAACAACTAAAAATGTTATGTGTTGCATGACGGTAAGTTCAGGTGTTAACACTCGAAGCTAGGCCGCTATTTATTATCAATTGTTGTGTTAATTGATGATTATGATAAATGAATATTATGGATGATTATGAGTATTGAACCTACTGATTAAAATAAGTATTTATGATTGAACCATGAATAAAATGAATACATTTATAATTATGAAATGATTTGTAGTGTTAAGGGTATCTAGAAGAACTCTAAGGTATACACATTTAGAAAATTGATGTTAAGGCTATCTAGAAGACCTCTAGAATAGATCTCATATTAGTATGGATTTGTGAAACATGAATATTCAATGAATTAGATAAAAATGTATAAACGGGATTTGTAGAGTAAGCTAGAAGATCACTCGTTTGGAAATACTTCGACTCAATGATGATTAATTATTGTCTTATTGTTGCCTTAAACTAATTATAGTTTAAGCGTCTGATTATTGTTTGCCTTAAACTAATTAAAGTTTAAGCGTCGGAGAACTGTTGCCTTAAACTAATTATAGTTTAAGCGTCTGAGAAATGTTTGCGAATTTGATTAATATCAAATTCGCAGACTCTTACTTTAATACTAGATCGGAATCTGATTCTTATCGATTCTCGCAACAATACTAGACCGGAATCTGATTCTTATCGATTCAGCGTTGTTATGATCTGGCCTTAGACTAAGAATAGTTAAGAGCGTTGTTATGATTTGGCCTTAGATTAAGAATGATTTAAGAGCACTATCGAAATAATAACTGAATTGAATAAAATATGTTGATAAGAACTAAATAATATCAAAACTGTGAATATCTGAAGTGAACATTGTGTGCATGCTATCAAATGATTTGAATATGAATTTAGATTCAGTTTATATGGATGTTCGACGCATTAGATATGCTTACTCAGCTTTACCGCTGAGCGTGTAGTTTGTTTTCTTTGCTACACGTAGGTAAACAGAAAGAACAATGTGATCCTAGCGGCAGATCAGGCGAGATTGTCGGGATGGATGTGACAAGTTTTGAAATGAATTATGATATGTCAATTTTTAATTCACTTCCGCAATATTGTTGAATACTCTGTACTGTATATGTTATGAAAAATATTATTGTGATAAATAAAAGTGTTTGAAAAGTTTTAAATTTTTACGATTTCCAAGTTAATACTTTAGTCCAAAAGGGGCTGCAGACCTGGACGGATTAGGGTGTTACATGTCATGATTTTGTCGTGTGCCATGCAGTTCCAAGGCCAGATCTTGAATAGAAGACATTACATCTTTGATCCGAATGGAGTATATACGGCCTGGTTCAAAAGACATTTTGTATGTTGCAACTTAAAGCCCACTAGGTATGCAATTGATCCATTGGTCGAAAATTAGTCAGCTGGTTGATTAACAATTCCTTTTTTGTTCTTTTGTTTGGATTTGTGATGAGTTCAAGAATGAACGCACCAATTGATAGAGTATCGTATCGGATATAGAAGGAATTAGAGTACCTTCAAGTTCTAATAAGAAAACAAAGGAGAAATTGAGGAAAGAGGAGAGAGGGTCTGTTCGACTAGAGGGGGAAAAAGGAGATAGATTAGGGTTTGAGAGATAATATTTTCTTTATTGATTAAATGAATGATTCGATGGTGACCGATACATTTATATGCTCCACACCTAAAGAATCTTAGTTATGAAAGGCAACTAAATAAACTAAAAATGTTAAATATCAAAGGTAACTAATATCCCAATAATCTAATAATAATATCAATAAAAATAATAATAATATCTGTAAATAATAATTACCTAATAATAATAATACAGTAGTAGTTATATTAATACTGAATTTAGTCCCGCAACACTACTTTACTAAACTATCACGAGGCCTGAATCGTCCTATTCTTTTCATGTTCTAACTCAAGGGCTATCAAGGCTAATGTAATCTTTTACAAAGTGATACTCCTTTCGATCCTAAAAACTCCTTCTGTTTTGTTTTTTGTCAAATAGTGACATTCTTTGACTAAAAATTATGAGGAAAATATATTGAATTACTGTTAGAGTGACATCTCACATCGGAAGTCCAAGAGTAAAATAATCGGCATATAAGCTCTTGAGTTGAACTAAATAATTAATTGGATTCAATCTTTTAATGTGGTTTAGCCCAAGTGTCTTATTGCCCAATCTAGTTAACCGTATCCTATTCTAAATTCTATCATGATATCAGAGTTGGTTTTGGCCGACCTCGTTTTTCAAAGTGTCCATCTAGACGTTCATTCCTAGCGGCTCGTTAGTCTTTAGTTCATTTGCCCGTAAGGAGTATGTACCCAACGACTTGTGCCCTGTTTAACACGATTGCTTGTTTGGAAGTCCATACCCAACCGCTCATGGTCCTTTAGGTGTTGGCGTTCAAAAGAAATCAAGGGAAAGAGAGTTCATGTGCAAGTGGTCAACCGATTAAATTTAAAATGGTTTGGTTGTCCACTTGAGGGGGAGTGTTAGAGGGTCATCACACATAGGAAGTCCAAGAGTAAAACAATCAGTATAATTGATTGAATTCAATTTTTTAATGTGATTGAACACAAGTATATATTTTATTGCTCAATACAATTATCCTTACCACGTCATAAATTCTTTCAATTACTTCATATAATATAAATTCAATATAATTGGGTTCAACTTAGGATATAGTTTTGATATATCAAATTTTTATACTATCTCCGCCCCTGAGTATTTGTCCAGTTTTGACTTTTTTACTCAATTGTTTTCAACCTTTGACCCATAATTAATTTAAATATATATTTTATATTAATTAGATAGAATAACATTTTTAAAATATTTCAAATAATTAATCTAATAGAACTGTTTTTGTATCAACATCTAATTTCATTTTTACTTAATTTGAGGTCGACGACACTATCGGTTCGTCCGAACAAATGCATCCCTTCAACGTTGCGGATTCCAATGACGAGGACCCCATTCCACGGCCGATCAGAAGAAAGAAGGCAAAATCCATTGCCTCGGGTTCGGGAGGGTCCGGCTCTGTTTCCATTTCTTCTCGTGACGAAATCGGTCGGCAATGGTTGAACAACTTCGGGTGTTCAATATTTGAAAAGAAGAGAGGATGAAGCTGAAGGAGCAGGAGATGAAGCGAAAGGAGCAGGAGGACGAGATCAAAATCATGGAAACCGACCTTTCTACGTTATCGGGTTTCAAACGGATGATCTATGAGCAAAGACAAAGAGAGATCAAGGCGAAATATAATTTACCTTAGTTTTTTTATTAATGTATCTTTTTTATTATTTTCGTTTTTTTAGTTTAATTAATGTAATTTTTTAAATTTTCAATTATTATCGTTTCAATTTCTTTAAATTTAATGAATATATATTTTTTATTATTCGTGTTTCAATATAATTAAATAATAAATTAATTACATTTTATTAATTTAGTTTTAGAAGATGTATATTTAAAAATGTAAAAAATGAAAGTTTGAAGAGTATTTCCAGTGCTCTAAGTGGAGGTGGAGTGAGGTAATTAACCTCTTAACAGTGTTAGACTACGTCGAATTGGCGATAAGCCTAGGTAACTTACGCTGCCCTTCTCATTTTTTGCCGGTTCTTTCTTCGATACTCCAAAGACGCAGCTGTTAGATCATCGTCTTCTTCCTCTCCCATCTAGCGTCAGATCCATTCTTCCTCTCCCTGATTATTGAAACACAATTTCTTCCTCTCCATTCTTCTTTGATTTGCGTTTTTTCTGTGTTCTTTTTCAGGGTTTTTTTTGCAGTTTTTTTATGTTTATTTTCTGTTTTTTCCCTTTTTTGTCGTTTTTTTGCTGTTTTTTGTTAGACATAATAGTTATGGGGTCTTTGTGTAATTAGTCTCTATGTTACTCTATATATACTGTGTAAGGCTCCTTGATTTAATATATACTATTCAATTTCTAAACCCTGTTCTAGTTCTTCCCCTTCTTCTCCGATTTTTCAGATTCTCCTTCTCTAATTTCCAGATTCTCCTGCTCCGATTACAAATTCTCCGTCTTGGTCGATTTTCTAACTTCCCGAACTAGAGGAGTCTGCAATTTCACGCCGCCAAGATCTTTCTCTCTCTCTCTCTCTCTCTCTCCAAGATCTGTAAAAAAAAAAGAAAGAAAGAAGAAGAGGGGAATCAAAGTGTTTCTCTACTTGCGGTCCAAAGTCAGAGTGTTTTGCGCAGAGATCTTAGTTGGAGTATTTGCGGTCCATCTGTCTGCTTCGCCGGCTCTTCAACATGGCCAAGACCGCCGATCCGCTTGATGATCTTCCTACTGGATTAAAACTTTTTATCAAGAATCTTCATTCCTTGACTCCGGAAAAGCTTGATGATACGAATTATCCGTCATGGCTCTTTAAAGTTTCTATAAATTTATCGGCTCATGGACTTATGGGTCTCGTTGACGGCAGTATCGTTCCTCCTCCTCCAACTGTTAGCACGGCTAATAAAGATGGGAATGTAAGCAGCGTTCCAAACCCAGAATACGAGAAGTGGTCCATCATCGTTGCCCAGTTATGTGCCTGTTTACTTGCCATCATCACGCCTTCTGTGCAAACTACTCTTATTGGACATACTACTGCTCAGGCTATTTGAAACCAACTGCAAGTACGATATAAATCTCTCTCTCTCTCTCTTACTCATATCTTTCAGCTTAAGGAACAATTGCATAATATTCATAAAGGCACGGATTCGATGCAAAAATACCTTGATGAAATTGCTAAAATTGTAGTCTCACTACACCGTGCTAAGTCGGAGATTTCTGATCAAGATGTCATCTTGTGCATCCTTCGTGGATTGCCGCCAGACTATGGTTTTATTAAGCAAAACATTCGCACAAACATTGGCACGGTTACTCTTGCTCAGGTTACATCTTGGTTGATTCAAGAAGAGTTAAACCTTCAAATGGAACAAAAACTGCAATTAAAAGAGTCCTCCACCACAGATGTGCACACAGCCCTATATACCAACTCAAGTTTTCATAGAGGCCGGGGAGGTCTCTTTCCATACAGAGGACGTGGTGGTCGAGGAGGAGCCACTGGCCGGTCCTTTGCTGCTCAGAACAGTGGTCGTGGCTAGTCTAGTGGGAGAGCATCTAGTCGTGGCTCGTACTCTGGTGGAAGGGGTCATGCGTCTCGTGACTATGTTATTTGTCAGATTTGTGGTAAATATAATCACGCGGCTTGGGATTGTTGACATCGCTTTGACTCTGAATATGCAGGACCCAGTTCTCGCTCTCCTCAGGCGTTTTATGCAAATCAATCCCCTACACCTAATGAGAATTGGTTTCTGAATACAGGTGCTAATACCGATGTTACTCCGGATTTGTCTCGTCTCTATTCATACTCTCCATACTCTGGTATTGAGAACGTCACCAGTGCAGGTGGTCACTCACTTCCTATTGCTCATGTTGGCTCAGGTAAAATTCCTACATCCTCTGGTATATTTCACCTTGGTAACCTTCTCCATGTCCCATCCCTGAAATCTCACCTTCTTTCTGTTTATCGTTTTACCAAAGACAATAACTGCACTCTTCTCTTTAATCCCACTGAATTTCAGATTCTAGACAACTCCACTCATTGGGTGAGGTACAAAGGCCGATGTGAGCAAGGACTTTATATGTTGCCATCCAATTATCAACAGTCACCGTCCTTTGAGTCGTCTCCCTCCATCCGGTCTGCGGTTGTTACAGCTCAAGACTAGCATCGCGGTTGGGACATCCCTCGTTAGTAGTTACAAATAATTTACTCTCCTTTTTAGGAATTTCTCCATTATCAAATTTGCCTTCTTGTGACTCTTGTTCTGTTTCTAAGTCTCACAAGTTACCTTTTTCTTTGTCATGTACTGCTGCTACTTTTCCTTTTCAACTAATTCATTCTGATGTTTGGGGGCCTACCTCTGTTCTCTCTTTTGGTGGTTATCGCTACTATATTTCCTTTATTGATGATTTTACCAAATTCTCTTGGATTTACCCCTTGAAACAAAAGTCTGAAGCTTTTGGGGCTTTTCAAAGTTTTCAATTCATGGTTCAAAATCAATTTGGTACCACAATTAAACTTTTTCGCACAGATAATGGAAAATAATGTCTAAGCAACCAGTTTGCTCTTTTTCTTCAATGTTTTGGTATTCTTCACTGAAAAACGTGTCCATACACGCCTGAATTGAATGGTGTTGTAGAACGGAAACACCGTCATCTCATTGAAACAGTGGTCACCCTTCTTCATATGTCTCATCTTCCTGTTATTTTTTGGGTCGAAGCTCTTTCTGTTGCTAATTTTCTCATTAATCCGCTTCCTACAAAAATTTTAAACAACCACTCGCCATTTGAAAAGTTATATAATCAAACCCCTGACTATTCTTTCTTACGGGTGTTTGGTTGTCTCGTTTACCCACATTTGCGACATGTTGTTGATCACAAACTCCAACCCCGTTCTAAACCATGTGTCTTTATTGGCTACGAACCCTTGACAAAAGGGTATCGTTGCTTTGACCCAACTACTTCTAAGGTCTATGTCACTCGTCATGCAAAGTTCAATGAGTCTGAGTTTCCTTACCAAAGACTTTGTTGCTCTCCCACCTCTAGTTCTAGTATGTCTAATTCCTATTTTGGAGTTCTTCCTCTTTTTCCACCTTCCTTTGGGTCACAAAGTCCTGCTCACATGCCTCAACTCACTCCTTCCTCACCCACACCTCAAACTTCCACTCAAACAACCTTTCAAACATCTCCAATTATCCAGCCCAACAATCCTACAACAATACGTACCCAGCCTGCCACGGCTTCTGGCAGCGACCCTGCTGCCAATGATTCGGTTCCCAGCACCTCCGCCCAACATTTTCCCACACAATCCACTCACTCTATGACCACCCGTGCTAAAAGCGGCATTTTTAAACCCAAACTTTATGCTTCCACCATTCCCTTTGATGAACCCCCACTTACCGACCCAACATCATACAAACAAGCTGCACAAAATAAGTATTGGTGTCAAGCTATGGATGATGAGTTTGAGGCATTACAAAGACAGAATACATGGGTATTGGTTCCTCTACCTAGTGATCGGTATCCCATTGGTTGTAAATGGGTTTATCGCATTAAACGCAATTCGGATGGTTCTGTGTCGCGTTATAAAGCTCGTCTCGTTGCAAAAGGTTATGATCAAGAGTATGGTCTTGATTACTCAGAAACCTTCAGCCCAGTTGTTAAACAACAAACTATTCGTGTTGTGCTCTCTATTGCTATGCACTATAATTGGCGTCTTCATCAGCTTGATGTGTCAAATGCCTTTTTGAATGGGGAACTTGAGAACCCCATCTATATGACACAACCTCCGGGTTATATTGATCAGCGATATCCTCACCATGTCTGCAAGCGGTAGAAGGCCTTATATGGTCTCAAGCAGGCTCCACGGGCTTGGTATCTTCGTCTTTCTTTATTTTTGGTGGCGTAAGGCTTCACTACCACAACTCATGATACCAGTCTTTTTATAAAGCGCTCTCCTCTGGGTACTCTCATTTTGTTATTGTATGTTGATGATATTGTTATCACTGGATCATCTTCTGCTCTTATTTTGGTTTTTATAAAGAGTATGCAGCAAGAATTTCAGATGAAGGATCTCGGCCCTCTTAAATATTTTTTTGGTCTTGAGGTTGAGCGTACCTCTGATACTCTCCTTCTTCATCAAAACAAATACACATGAGAGCTTATTCATCGAGCTGGTGTTGATACTTGTACTCATGCTACTACGTCTATCGGTCCCAGTTCCTCCACAAATGGTGTTGATATTCCCTTTGCTAATCCACGCCTTTTTCACAGTCTGGTTGGTGGTCTTCAGTATTTAACTGTTACTCGTCCTGATATTCAATATGCGGTTAATTTTGTTGCTCAAAAAATGCATAGCCCAACGGATCAAGATTTTCATACGTTGAAGCGCATCCTCCGCTATGTTAAGTGCTCGCAGACGATGGGTATTGTGTTCCGCAAGGGGATCTACGTCTATGTGGCTATTCTAATTCTGATTGGGCTAATGATCCATCGGATAGTCGTTCCACCACTAGTTATCTCATCTATCTTGGACCAAATCTTGTTTCTTGGAGTACAGAAAAGCAGACAAGGGTCTCAAAGTCTTTTACGGAAGCTGAGTATCGAGCCCTCTCCGCTGCTGCTTTTGAGGTTATGTGGTTAACTTATGTCTTGACTGATTTACACATCACCACACCACCACCTCTTCTTTACTGTGACAACTAGTCTGCTATTTGCCTTACAAAGAATCCAGTTTTTCATAAGCGTATGAAGCACGTGGGTACAGATTGTTACTTTGTTCGAGAGCAGGTTCTTGATGGCTCTATGACCGCCGAACATGTTTCTTCCGAGGAGCAGGTTGCTGATTTTCTTACAAAGCCCCTCAATTCGCGGCGTTTTCAGACACTCATCTCCAAGCTTCCTCTCGCATACGCTCGACTCAGCTTGAGGGGGGATGCTAGACATAATAGTTAAATACTAATTAGTTATGGGGTCTTTGTGTAATTAGTCTCTATGTTACTCTATATATACTGTGTAAGGCTTCCTGATTTAATTGAGTAATAATATTCTCACATTATTTTTGTTTTCCGTTTTTTTCATTTGTTTGCCCTTTTTTCCTTTGGTTTTTGATGTTTTTTTCTATTTATTTAAATAAGCAATTTTTTCTTTTTTTTGTTTGTTATTTTATATCCTAGTTTTTTAACCTTGTATTTTGTGTGTTTTTAGGTTCATATTAAAATGAATTGTGCTAAATCATAATTCGACAGAAGTCACTTTGTTATTATTTAAATTGAGATAAATACATAAATTAATAAAGAAAAACAAGCACAAGCGTATTTAAGTAATTTTATTGTTTTATCTTCCTTACGATACCTAATAAATATCCAAATACGATTTTCAACATATTACATTATTTTACCTACTTTCTATTACATACTTTCAATTATCTATCATTACCTACCTAATAAGACTTTATCTACCTCAATCTAAACATAGCTTTAGAGTTAGTTTTAATTTATTCAGCTTCCATGTTTATATTGTGATAACATTTCTTCTTTTTAAAATTGCAGTGGACCCAAGGTACCTGGATTTTATGTTCCTACACATATTCATATTGCTCATTTATTTACTAAAGCTTTGTCTAATTCTACATTTGAGTTTTTACTAGTAAAATGGTAAAGTTACAAACATATAGTTCACAAACTTGCTTATTCTGGATTTTAAATTAAAACATCTTTTATTATTTCAATGCATCTTATTTCTAAGAAAGTATCAAAAAGGCAAGTTTGTGAATTTTGTAAACTATTTATTTGTGACTCTAGCATTATTCTTTTTACTATCCAAAGACCAAATTCGATATTGGTAATATTAATGCGCGAATGTGAGAGTGTTAACTGGTCCATATTTATCATTGTGCTTATTGCTACTGGACTTGTATTATGTTTAGTACTCCGTAGTATAAATAGACAACACAATTCACGTTTGGTAAATATTTGTACAATAATTTTAGGAAAGAGTGTGTACAAGCAAATCTTACATTCTTACTTGTTACTTGTTAGAAGACGATTTTCAAGGAATTCCTCTTCAAGCACTACACAAAACTTAGTGATAGTCACACTCGCTAGAAGACTAAAGACACTCTATTAGCTAAATACACTTCATGATGTTTAGTTATTTATTATTTAAAAAATTTAAAAAAAGTTTATTAATTTTAAAAGTAATATTATATACAAAGCTTTTAAATCTGTCCAGTGTTTATATCATTTTCTTGCTTTTCAGATATACTTTTCAAAAACAAAGATTTGTATAAATTTGAATAATTAAATGTGCATCATTATTAGAACTATAACTTCTATTTCAAAAATGATATCATATCTAATAATTAAAAAAATATAACACATACCATACACAGAGTACTTTTTAGAAAATTAAAATATTTAAAATTATATTTTAACTCCAAATATAATTTTATCAAAATCTTAAAATAATTAAAAATGTATCTGAGTCAATGCGAAGCACAAAATTAGGATTAATTTAGAATAGAGTTGAGTAAACTTAGTGTGAGGTGAATTTAGTCTTTTGGTGAATTGTCACCCCATAGAGAATTCACATGACATAAATAAAACAAAGAACAAATTAAGAGAAAGAAAAGTACAAGGAAATAAAGGATATACACAATTAGGTCTTGTTTGGGATTAGCGTTTTCGATTAGAATTAGCGTTTTGGATAAAATTTTAACGTTGTAGATTAATTTTGAAAACGCTAACACCAAAAGCTACCGTCAGATAACCTTTTCAAAACGCTAACGCTAACCTCTAACGCTGATGCCAAATATAATGAAACCTTAATCAATTATACAATAAGTTTTTGTATGAGATTAAGGGGCCGTTTGACAATTGCTGAACCAGTAAGAGTTGAATCAATAAGAGGTCTGAATGGGTAAGAGGCTCTGAACCAATAAGTGATGAACCATTAAGAGTTGTTTGGCTGTATCTCTGAATGACTGTGCAGAATGACTATTTTACCCCTATGAACTATTATGTGCTGAATGAAATGTATTTGTTTGGACAGAGTTCTGAATAGTGTACAGATTAATCGATAGTTGTAAAAAGGAAAATAAAAAATGTCATAGAAAATCCAAATTACATATAAATTCTTTAAAATCCATGGAAACATACGAGAATCCAAAAACAAAATAACACAACATACGAAATCCAAATACAAATTACACAACTCTGCATACAACTTTAATTTAAATCATTTAAAAGCAACTGATTAGCAATCTGGCCACGTAAAGAATTCATAAACTCAATCCCTTGTGAATCCCACTATATGTCTTGAACTAAAAGGCCATCGTTTTCTCCAGTTTGCATTTCATGAAACATCGTGTTCTCATCATACTCCATAAATAACTGATCATAAATATTGCATTTCCTTTTAAAATTGTGGATGGCGAAACAAGCAATCACGATGTCTCTTTGTATTGGAAAAGAAAAGGGAGCCATTTGCTTCAGGATTGGGAATCTTGCCTTTAGAACACCATATGCACGTTCAATGACATTTCTAAGTTCTGCATGAGCATGATTGAATCTTTCTTCCTTAGTTAACGCACGTTGTCGTCGAAAATCGGCTAACCAATACCTCGTACCACGGTAGGGAGTCATAAATCCAGGAGTGTTGGTGTACGCAGCGTCACAAAGGTAATACTTATCTGTATCAATATTAAAACTATCATATAAAAAAATAATGTATGAAATGAACATTGAAGAATGGTTAAAAACCTGGTGGCGGGAAAGGAAAATCAGAATTTGGGTTGAATGCAACTTCTCTTAAAACTCGTGAATCATGTGCAATGCCCTCCCATCCGGCCCATACGAATGTGAATATCATATCAAAGTCACAATTCCTAAAACATTTTGAAAGCATTCACCTTTTCCTCTTCCCCTGTAACGAGTCTGTTGATCAACAGGCACGATCGCATGTATAAGAGTTCCATCTAAGGCACCTATTGCTCCAGGAAATATTTCTTGCGTGTATTCATGACCGGTTAATGCTGAATTCAAGTCTCTTATCCTTCCCAAATTTATTCTCGAAGCTAATGAAACCCAATACCAACAAAGGATCATGAAAACTATAATCTTATCTTCCGAATCCATAAGGCACCTATCATAACATAAATAAACAACTATATCATCCACATTAACATATTGTCCAAAACATAACATCAAAAACATAACATCCAAAACATAACAGCGAAAACATAATATCCAAAACATAACATCCAAAAGATAACATCCGAAACATAACATCCATAACATAGCACCTAACCAAAAAAACAATCAAAGCACAATCTTAGTTAAACAATCCATACTTCGCTCCCGCATTCTTAACCCATTTCTCACAATTTTGTGGCTTAAGACGTACCCACAGTTTCTGAAGATCGGCACTCTCACCAAAAAGCAAAAGCACTGTTTCGTATTTCGCATCCGACTCATCCCAACCCAATGTCTCCAACTTCTCCAAGCATGCATCCATATCATCAGAAAGTGTGTGTTTCTCAATCATCATCTTTGCCAACTTGCTAATATCTTCACTAACTTCTATAAGCTTTGACTCTAATGTAGCTTTATGTTTTCGTTTCTCTCCTTTTTCTTTTTTTTGGGGTCAAATACTTGACTCATGACTAACACCTTTACCTGGGGAATCCATTTGAGTGCATTCAACGTCCACAACATCCATATCATCCAACTTGTGTTCATACACTTCCTCAGAAGGATGAGGAAGCATAGAACTTGGCCCCTAACTAGCAAACCCATTTGAAGTAGACCCCTCATACAATTGACAACAAAGCTCGGGGTAAGCAAGTGGCACATTTCTCAAAGCTTCTACATACTTGTTACACTGTGTGAAGAAAAATTTTAAAACACCATAAAATTAAATAAATATACCAATAGTAATTATTAGTTTAAAAGAGATACCTTCATCTCAATTTGCCACTCTTCTTCTGACAAGTTAAAGGTGTTTGTAAGTGGATCATAGACATTCCCGGTTTTGTTTTTAAGCTTTAACCAAGCTGCAAATTTTCCTTTAAGAAAATCAAAATGATTCTTCATTTGACGTTGATCCACTATGAAATTGTGTTGTGTTTTCAATTTTTCAGCTACACTTTTCCATGACGCTTGTTTAAGACTGCTTCCTTCATGTCCATGGATGGTTATTTCATGAATACATGCTTCAAGAAAGGTTTTTTCAACACCTTCTAGCTTCCAATTAATTCGCATCCTTTTTTGTGTCATTTCTTTGGATATTGGTTCCTAAAAATTATGGATTTAAAGCACCTCAATGAACATGTATCTTTTCATACCGATATCAAATCCAATATTTCTAATACACAAACAAACATACAACAAGCCAAAACATGTACATATTTTCAATATACAACAATGTTGTAATGCCTTGAATCTGACCCGGTACACAATGTTGATGTATTGGGCTGTTAATTATCTGTCAATTTTGTAGTTTTGGACCCAATTTTGTTAGAGTTTAGCCAAGCACTATTCTCGATTTCCGCATAACAAAAACCAATACAACAATCGGATGGGGACAAGGACAATTTCAACATTCAACAAAAACAACGAATACCAATCAACATACAACAATCAACAATATTGTAACAATCAATAACAATCAACATACAACTAACCAATAACAAGTTCAAATAACTAATAATAACAAAAAAAATGTACCTGGCAGAGGAGGGAGGAAGCACCGCGACAGAGGAGAGGGAAAGAGGGGGAGGCGGGTGCAGAGATGTAGAGGGAAGAAGGTAATGGATGGGGCGGCGTCCGCAGGGGTGCGAAGGAGCGGGAAAAGGAAAGGGAAGAGAGAAGGAGAGGAGAGGAGGTCAGAGGGTGCAGAGGAGGAGGGGGATGACCGAGGGAGGAAGGGGGACGGATGGGGCGACGGGTGTAGGGCTGTGGAGGAGAGGGAAAAGGAAAGAGAAGAGAGGATGAGAGGAGAGGAGGTTGGAGGTTTCAGAGGGGAGCAGCGATGGCAAGCGGATCCGAGAAGAGGAGAGGGCGATGCAAAATCGGATTAGGGATTGAAGATAGCGGAGATCTTTATTTTTATTCACAAACGGTACATAACGGAATGGGGCAGTGCTGTATGGTATCATTCAGAGGTGTCAATATTTTCAACCAAACAACACAACCTCTTAATGGGTCGTCAGAGGAAGCCTCTTAATAAATAATTCAGAACTTTGCCAAATAGCCTCTAATATTACAATAATTTTTTTAAACAAAAATTTTATAACATCCACTTGAATAACTTTTTACGGGTTATCTCGCACCGTAAAACATGTGAATACGTGTATTCATCCGTTTCGATTCCTTTTATTTATTGCACGGAATACTTTTCTACTCCGTATTTTAATTTTCACTTAAAAAAAGCTGTTCAGATTTTTCCCCATTTTGGACCAATATAACCTAGTCTAGAAGGCTACCACTCCCTTATCCTACTCTGTACTGTATTTTCTTTCCTATTCCGGCCTAAAATCATTCCGCTACGGTTGCCGTACTCCGCCTCAATTAAAAAACCACCCGCCGTCGTCTCGCCGGAGCCCCGAACCCCCCGACCAATCAAGCGATTGCGATCTTCTCCGATGAAATTGGCGGTGAAAGTTCCGATGACGTGTCTGCATTGGTCACAGCCGTCAATAGCCAAATTCCCGGCACTCCCGCGCCGCTTAGAGCTCGCCCACGGCGGCGGTCTTCTCCGGCAGGCTTCCGGTTATAATCCGGCGAAACGCGGGACCGCCAGCATACGCGCGTGCAGCATCAGCTTGGATTTGTCCGGCGCAATGGAGCCGCGGCGGCGCGACGGGTTTCTCCGGGAGGCAGGGGAGGCGGCGTACTGCTCCGTGAAGAGGGCGTTCGCGAACACGGTGCTCATAATCCGGGAGCTCCATAGCTACACGCTGCAGATGAGGAAGGAGACGATGCTTTACAAGGAGGACTTGGAGGGCATTTTGGTCAGAGTTCACCGGGAGATCCACGCCTCCTTCGTCTGGCTTTTCCAGCAAGTCTTCTCCCACACCCCTGCTCTAATGGTGTCTGTCATGATTCTCCTCGCCAACTACAGCGTCCATTCCATGGCTTCTGCTCCTGCCGCCGTTCCTCCTCGGGCTCCGGCGGTTTTTGCGTCGGAAGAGGAACAGAGTCGCCGGAACCAAAATTTTGATTCTTTAGGTGTTAAGACCTCCTTCTGGTCCTCTTCTAATGGGAGGAGCGCTTCTATTGGCGGCGGCAGTGGCGGCGGCGGTAAATACCCGCTTACTACCAGTGGTAAGACTTTGATACCATACTTGAACCACATTAAAACTTTAATTTAATTGATTACTTAGAGTTTAGTGAAATTAGCTAGTATTAAAACATGTGAAATTTGCAATGTAGGACTTAAATATTTTTATTCCCTAAATAGAACTTAATAATGACTAATAAGAAAAATAATGTCCAAGTGATGCTGGATATTTAGTTGAATAATGACTAATAGATAATGACCAATAGTCATACATTGGAAAATAAAAACATATAGTCTTATATTGAGGAAATCATTATGTTTTAGTCCTATTTAGGTAAATTACCCTTAAAACATTTCATTTTCTAATGTAGAACTTAAATTTTTTTATTCTCTAAATAGTACTTGAATAATGTCTAGTGGCAGGAACAATGTCCACTAATGGTAGACATTTAGTTTAAACAATGTCCAGTGGCATTGGATATTTGCTAGAATAATGACGAGTGGACATTGAACAATGGTACTACGTTAGAAAATACTCCGTAAAAAGATATAGTATTACATGGCGAAAGTCACTATGTTTTAGTAATATTTAACAATAACTTTATCATTAAGCGTAAAAGTACCCAGACTTGGTCTGATAACTTTATCATTTAGACTGGGATGGCTACTTATCCAGACTTGGTCTGATAACTTTATCATTTTCAAAATTAATTTACGGACCATGCTAGGGTGCCACCACATGGATGCACCCATGGTAGCACTCATGTGGTGGCATTCTAGCGTTTTCCTTAATTTACTCCATTGTAAAAGTACCCGAACCCCTAACGGAAAACATTGTTCCGTTACATGACCTATAAATCTATAATTGTTTTTCTTCAAAGTTCCGATGTGAGATAATACGGGTTCAGAAAATGTTTTATACTCTAACATCGTGTTGACCATCGCTAACAGGCATAGACGGTGGTGGGGACGAAGAAGGTCGGGCACTCGAGGAAGTGTTTGGTTTTGGCCAAGCCATACTCGAAGAAGAGTCGAGGTTGTGGAAGTCGATTCAGGAAGAGGCTGCAAGAATGCAGGGTTCGGGCGTCGAGAGGATGCCCGGATTCGTGTGCCCGATTGATGCGAAAATTAGCGTTGAATCATCCGAGGAGGAGGATTGTTATGCCCAAACAGAACTTGGGTATAAAATGGGGCTTGCCCAAGAACCAAACAACGCTCTCCTGCTTGCAAACTATGCCCAGTTCCTGTTCATGGTCGCCCAGGATTATGACAGGTACCAAACCTCCCTTTCACCAATGTGGTTATCTTCTCTGTTTAGGATAAGTGCTCTTAGTTGCTGCATTAGTGGTGTTGGAAGTCAATTTTGCTTCACTTGCCCAAACAGTTAAGAGTGTGATGGATGGATTAAGAAATTGGGATGATCTGGACCGTTGATTCACTTGATCCTCTCTTCAACATCTGTATCATGGTTCTTTTCAGTCTTAATCATAATCTGGGTCCAGGTTGAATCTTGATAAGCGGCGACATATATATATATATATATATATATATATATATATATATATATAGTGAAATTTGCCCTAAATAGGACTAAAACATAATGACTTTCCTAATGTAGGATTTAAAGTTTTTTTATTCTCTAAATAGGAATTAATAATGATCTAGTGAGAGAATTAATGTCCAGTAACAATGGACATTTACTTGAATAATGACTACTTCTTAATGACCAAAAGTCCTACATTGAGAAATAAAAACATATGGTCCTATATTGGAAAAGTTATTATGTTTTAGTCCTATTTAGACAAATTTTTCATATATATATGTGTGGTTTAATGGCTTTCTACCAAATACTTCAAATTTAAGACTTTCTTTTTTTTTAAAAAAAAAGACGAGTCTCATCGCTCCCTGATCCGGTTGGACGGTCAGTAAAAAGAAGTAAATTAGACTTTGATTGCAAACTAATAATTTTAAAACTTCTTGAAGAGAAGGAACCTAAATATCTCCTTTTGTATTTTATTTTGTACAATAGAGCTTTACACCAGTATTTTGATGACTTATACTTGCACAAATGTGAGTGTGATTGCAAAAGTTTGTACTAGCATTTTGTGCTAGTGCGAGCCATCAAAGTACTGATGTAAAATTGTGGTATACAAAATGATGTATGCCAAGTGGTGTGCATCTAGCATTGTCCTCCTTTTTCTTAAAATTAAGTCCACTAAAAAAACTGTTGTGTTAGAGTATATCATTTGGGGTATACTAAGTTTGTCAGAGACGCACATAGATAATAGATGTCTCCGTGCGTATTGATATGTGTTGTCTGTGTGTCTGAAACGCACTTGATGCACAAAGTGGTGTACACAAGCTTTACTGGTGATAAAAGGATTAAGGTGGATATTGCTCCGGGTAATATTTTTTTAATTGAGTCCGGCGTTGAGATTTAAACTCGTGACTTTTTTATCTTCTACGGAGTAAATTTTAATACATTGTCTGAATACTCAATGCACCCTTTATTTGGGAATAGGACAGGTAGAGTAATATTTTTAAATTTTAGCAACATGATTTTCTTAAACACAATCAGAGCGGAGGAATATTTCAAGAGAGCGGCGGCGGCGGAGCCAAAGGACGCGGAGGCATTGAACAAATACGCGACTTTCCTGTGGCGGGCGAGAAGCGACCTCTGGGCGGCGGAGCAGACCTACCAGGCGGCCGTCGACGCCGAGCCAAATAACCCCTTCTACGCCGCCAACTACGCCCATTTTCTCTGGAACACCGGCGGCGACGACACCTGCTTCCTTCTCGACGGTGATGACGACGTCGTTTAATCGTGTATTTATTTACATGTAATTAACATTAACAATAATTCCCAAAAAAAGAAAGAAAGAAAGAAAGAAAAAAGTGTTTAATTAATTTATCGATCGGAATATTTCCNAGGGGAGGGGGGGATTCCGTCAAGATCTCAAATTCTCAATTGTCACATGGGACTGCTTCCTCTCTATTGGCCTTTTCTGTTTAGTCTTTTACAGATTTCTTTTTTAAAAATTAGATCTATGGATGCATCGTCAAGCTTAGCTTCTTGTATGTCAATTGAACATGTAAGTAGGGGCCGTTTCCATTTTCTGTACTAATATTTTACGTATCCAATTTTTGTATATTTTCAACACCTTTTTAAAAATAAAAACACATACAGTGTTCCGTATACAAAATTAATTGTTTTTACTCTTTAACTATCCGACCCTCGTTTCCCATCCCAGTCTCTCATATTGTCCTCTCTCCTTTCATGTCGATTAGCTACATTATATTACTGTAACTTATGAACATGAAAGGGAGGAGAGCAGATGTGAGGTTAGGATGGAGGTTGGAACGATCACTTTTGGGATAAGAGTAAGGTGTGCCGGGAATGTAAGAAATAGAATTAGTGTCATCGGGTGATACATGGGTTATTGGAACCTCACCGATATAACTGTTTTTATGGCACATTGAGAAAAATAAAATATACCAAAAAAATTGTATGTTGAATTTGATATGCCATTATTTTTAGTACAATATACACTGAAATAAATATCGAGAATTTTAAAACACATACTGTACTGGCGTTATTGTACCCAAACATTTCATTATGATGTCATATCGTATTATGGCATCAAAATTTTGGTAAAATTGATACTCTGATACTTTATAAATTGGAAAATGCTAGGGTGCCACCACATGGGTGCACCCATGGTAGCACTCATGTGGTGGCACCATAGCATGGTCCTTATAAATTTGTACGAATATGACCATGAGTTATGAAGGGGTTAAAGAGGCTTGACAGTGTGTAAAAAATATAGAAAGAGCAATGCTAGGGGTACACCAAAAGGTGTACCCCATTTGTCCCCCACCCCTTTATCCACCATTCAATTTTATTTTATTTTTATTTATTTAATTTTGTTTTAGTTTCTTGCCTTTTTGTGTGGTGATGGAGGGGGTGGGGGACAAATGGGGTACACCTTTGGTGTACCCCTAGCATTTTTCATATAGAATAGAAATCATCCTAAATAGGACTAAACATAGAGAAAAGTACCAAAATAGGACTTTCATATTTTTTTCCCGGAATAAGACTTTGCACTGTGGTAATGTGACTTTGCATTGTGGTAATGTGGCAGTGTACATGTGCAAATTACTATACTTTTTTGGTAATGTATATGACCATGTTTGGTAATGTAAGTCCTATTTCGGGAATAAAACATGGAAGTCCTATTTGGGTATATTTTCAATGTTTTAGTCCTAGTTTGGTCTTTCTCCCTAAAAAATACTCCCTCCGTCCCCAATTTGATTACAAGTTTCGGGTTACAGAGTAAAATTTCTTACTTTTTGAAATCATTTTATTTACAAATTGGTATATCAATAAGAAATAAAAATTACTTATTAAAAAACTACTTCAATAGTTCTACAAAAACAAGAGGTGTCAAGAATATTTTAGTTTATCAAATACTTAATGAAATCGCGTAAACAAACAAAAGTTATCGAGAGGAGAAAAAAAAAATTGTAATCTATTTAGGACGGATGAAGTATATGATATGGAGCGATAAATATACGTATGTTATGGTAAATGTGAAGGGATGTGATAAAGTGTGAATATACATTAAATTTTGATTGGTTGAAATATTAAAAAAAAATGATTGGAAGGAAGAAGTCATCACTCCGTGATGGTAGGCACTTGATTTGGGGCAACACCCCTTCACACTATGTATGTAATGGATAGGGGGCGGGGGAGCGTGATTGAGGATGGTCAAGTCCTTCCTAACGCACCATAACACATGATCCAACCCATTATTTGGATATAGAGAATGATGATATGATTTTGACAGTCATGATAGAATTTGTGTAATGAGATGGCAAAGATGACCCAAGATTGAAGAATGCTAATCTATCTACTTAATTATCTTCTATGGCATCCTTTGCTCAATTAACTTCGTCTCTTCCAAAATACTCTCTCCGTCCCTAAATAAAGTTCCATTTTTGACTTTTTGAAAATTTAAGGGAGGGATATTTTGGTGTTGACTTTCCAAAAATACTCTTGATGTGATGTGTTAAAGTAAGATGTGATAGGTAGATTATTAGTAAAAAGGTATGATATGATATGTAGGGTATGAAAAAGTAAGGGGTAAAAGGGGTTTTTTAAGGGAAAAGAGAAGTTTATTTAGGGACAAAGAAAAAACGAAAGAAGAACTTTATTTAGGGACGGAGGGAGTAAAATATACTCCGTGCAAGAGTGCTTCCCATTTTAATTTCTACCAATTTCTTTTTAACAAAAACAATATGTTATTAGATAGAGCATTGTTTAATTTTTGTAAACTACATTTATAATTCATTCGAAATTGTTTAATTTATCCTTCAATAATTTTTTGTAACCTGGAGTATATGTACGTATATATGAGAGGCAGCAGGGAGACCAAACAGTTTTATATGAGTGGGGTTATATATGTTTTTTTTTAAATGGGTGGGATGAGAAATGTTTAATTTGTTGTACATTGTCACTTTCCTCTTCACTACTCACTTATTTTAATTACTCTCTCGACACGTTTTATCAAGAACTGGCTGCCATTGACGCCTGGCCCTCCCTCTCCCACCTTCTTGTTTTCCTGTTTCCTGTTTTCATTTTATTTTTTAAAACCTAATTTAAAACCACTTTTTTTACCTTTATAATGTTCAAATAATGTTGGGTTGGATAAAATCCCTAATCCGTCAACTAATCTATTTCCCCTAGACGACAGTACAAATGTTTTTTCTGAAAATACATGACTATTTTTTCAAAATAACATTACAAAAGTTTCGAGTTGTTATATTTTTTAAAGATTGAGACAAATGTCTGGCAATTCAAGAGCGTATTATTACGAACTTCTCCCCTAGTTTGAGTGGTAGCAAGCCCACTCCCCAGGAGTCATGGGGAAGTTCACCCAGATTCGAGCCCCAGCGAAGGTAGCAGCATTGGCTCTTTGTGCGTCATTAGCTTGAGAATAGTATAAACAGATACTACCTTGTAATAGAGTCAATAACATTCAAAAAGGGCGTATTATTACGTTCATAAAAACATAATGTCAAATTTTAAAATTTTAAAAAAATTAAAAAAATAATTTGCCTCAAAAATCACACCTTTCAATTCTTTGGGCAAAATAGGCCTTTTTAAAAACCGTAAGGTTACCGTACCTCTCTAACCGCGACTCGAAACTCACGCACATCGAAATACCCAGAGTAGTTGGAATTATGACGCGTAACTTTGAAAAGTAAGATTAAGTTCGAAAAAACGCTTAAAAGAAGGATTTTTCAGATAATTTTTCTAAACAAAATAAAATCACATATTTTACAAAGGCTAAAAATATATATATAACCCAAATCTAATACGAAATAGTATTAAACGATTTGGAAAAAGTTATTACAAATACATTTTGATGGATTTCAGAATTATTTTCAAAATAAAAATATTTTAAGCCACACCCAAAGAGTTTAACACAAACTTTAGCTCTGGAGAAAAAATTACGCTTTATGATTAGATGGACTTCGATACATATGGCTCAAGCTATGTGATGCGATAAAAGGACATCAATGCATAATAAAAAATCCGATTACCGTCCGCATCTGTATCCGTTTAAACAGGAATATTCCGTATCCGTTTTAAACAGATATTATCCGTATCCGATTAAATACATCCGATTACTAAACGGATACAGATTTGGTAATTGTATATCCGATCTGTTTAAAATCCGATTCTGAATATACATCTGTTTAGATAACCGTTTATTCGAATATCCGTTTATCTGAATACCAAATTAATTATTTTAATATTCATAATAATTTATCCCGCTCATTATACATTGATACTTGGCTCATTACTTCCACAAAATACTTGGCCGATTATGAATTTGTATTTTTTTCGAATCGTTTTATTTGCTTAAGTATTTATTATTTATATAGTAGTTTTCGACGTTGTTCAGTATTGTGGATTTCAACATTCACATTCTCACTTTCAATGACCTATAGCTTGGTATAAATATTCATACTTATGTTTATATAAAAAATTGTCAAGTTTTATGAAGTACTTTAAAACATAATAAAATAATATCACGTAAAATAAGTATGCCTATAATTATAAATAATACGAGGTTTATTTAAAAAGAATACAAAGTTTTACATTTAGATATAGATTATTTTTAAAAAATACTCCCTCCCTCCTAAAACCATCTTCCTGTTTGTGTTTACGAGGTTTGACCGACTTTATTTTCAATTCAATTTATTTGATTGTAGGTGTAAAATTAACAAATAAAATTTATATATTTAAAAACTACATCAAAAGGTCTACAAAACAAGAGATGACAATATTATATTATTTTATCAAATAACTAACAAAAATAGGTAAAGAAAGTGATTTAAGTTTGACCATGTGAATAGTAACTGAGAAGATAGTTTTAGAATGGAGTGAGTATATTAGAACACAACATGTATTAAGAAATAAATATATACTCTGTATGTAGTATTATATACTACTTGTAAATACCAAGCATTCGATTTAGCCTAGATTGCTACAAATTACAATTTGAAGGTTAGAGGTCTTAGTTCAAATCCCTCTGCCCCCATCTTACATTTTTGTTTTTGGGTTTGAACACATTGATATTCGGTCGGATTTGGTTACTTGACCGGTTTTGGATATTTAATCGGATTCGAATATATCCAAAATAAAAAATATCCATCGGTTACGGGTTCGGATATAGAAATGTAAATATCTGTCGGATACAGATATGAATTCGGATATTCCAAAACTTAATCGGATTCCGATTCGGATATGCCATATCTGTGACAAATATTATTTGTTTACAGTCCTATTGCTAGGTGTACACTAAGGGATGTAATTCAAATTGTACACCACAAGTATGCACCTACACTTTGATAGTTCACTCCAACGCAAAATACTAGTACAATAAAAAAATGTTGCACAAACATTTTGTTCCAATGTGAACATCAAAACATCAGTGCGCAACTCTGACGTACTCCCTCCATCCCAATTTATATTGCATGTTCTATTTTACGGTGTTTAACTGAAATTATTTTCAAATCATTTTATATTAAAAATGGTGTAAAATTAAAAAAAAAGATCACATGTTAAAATACTACATTAAAAAATCTACAAAACCAGTGATGACATAGTTATTTTATTTTATCAAATGACTACCAAAAAAAAGAAAGTGAATAAAATTAGATTATATAAATAGTAAACATGCAATTTAATTTGGGACAGAAGTACAACTTAGGGTACACCCCTTGACATACAAGTAACTTAATTCAATTCTTGAATATTCTTTGGCGGTGAAGTTCTCAGTCTAGTTATTGCTCCTGCAGTTGTAGCTTGTGCTAAAATCTTCATTTATGTGTGGTCTATAGAATTGCAATTTTTATTAGCAATTCTGACCTTGGAAGAAAAAGAAATGCATGTGGTATTTTGGTCAGTTCACCCAAGAATGGCTTGAATCGTCCCTATGAGAAGATAAAAGGTTTAAATGCCACTTAATTGCTCCTTAGCAGTGGGCTAAATAGGGTGTAATATAGAGTAATAATAATAATGGCCTGAAATAGAAGGGAATTATACCAAAATGACCATCATTTAAAATCCCAAGAAACATAATGCTACAACGTGAGAACCAAATTGTATGATCTCTAATATGAAATACAAAGATATGAGAGACAATACACCAAACAATGCCTTGAGGTGTGTAAATGTGTTCTTTTGATCGATGAGCTAGAGTAAATCTATTCTCACTGATAGTATAGTGAATCAAGTAGACACTCTTTCTTTTCATGTACAAAGAGAAAGCACAAGCCATTACCTTAGCAAATTCTACTCGTCTTCATCCTCGTCATCGTCTTCTTCTTCCGAAGCTTCCTTCAGCCACTGCAACCAGAACGTACTTATAGACCACGGAGAAAAAAGGGACCAAAAGCTCTAAAAGGGTCATGTAGTAGTCACTCTTTCTGCTTTTAATCATATACAGTAGTTGTATAATTTCTGTACCTGGATGAATTTCTCAGATTGCTTGACGAATACTTTGTCTGATTCATCGCCACCTTCTAATTCAGAAGCCCATTTCAAAATAGCCGCCTCTTGTATGACTTCTTTGTCATATAGAAGACGCAGAATCTGTCATTTTCAAAATAGAGGGTGGATGGTGTATGAATGCATCAGGAAGCAGACATTAACAATATCTTCCAGCAGGAGTAAAAAGATACCCAACAAAGCGTACCGCATCAAATATTGTAGAATACTCCTTCGCCGATTCCAAGCACATTTCTTCGAATTTCATTATAACTTCAATCTGCAGAAATCAATTAGAACAGCAATGTATTTACTCAACAGGTTATGGTGAAAATAAGATTCAACTTTATATGGATAACATTTTTCCATAGTGTCAATGTTTTGTCGTCCATTATTCATGTTTGTTTTAAATAAACCATAAAAAGAGAAGACTCTGAATGGTCAATGATAGACGCAAGCACCCTATAAAGAGACAGACGACGAGATTCTCAGTACCAATAAACATGAGAAAAACATGTTAATTGCACAAATTAGAATCCCCAAACATGATTTTATCTTTTTGCCACTCAATAAATGGGCGCTCAGAAAAATATTTATAATTAATTTTAATATCAAATGAACAAATCCATTGGCTGGTCAACCTCTACATCTATACTAGGCAGGTAATACTTGAGAAGCTTTTTCCATTTCGTGATCACACTCGCAGCATTCTTGTATAACTCGCCTGCAACATAAGAAAAATAGTGATAACTGAAGATTAAAGAGATCAGGGTCAGCAGACACATGAAGTAATGAGAACAAGAGCGACATACTAGTTGAACTATGTGGTTTGTCCAATGCCAACTTCATCATCGAATAGAACAGTGCACTAGCACAATTTTCAGAATCCAAATTGTATGATAACCTGACACAAAAGAAAAAGAAATTTATACTCATTTGTTCTATTAGGGCTGTAAAGAAATGTGATTAATATTCACATCTATTTCAGAAGATAAAGATGAACGCCATACCTAAGTGAATTGACTTCTAAGATAACGTTATCTTCATTGATATTCTCATGCACAACCCTGAGAAAAGTTGCTTCAACCTGCAATTATAAAGAAAATGATATTTCGATAATAAAAGAAATAAACAAAGAAAAAAAATTGAAAAAGAAAACATGCACGCACCTCTTGCTCAAAGAGGGCATAGGTAGCCCCAATATCTTTAACATCATCGTCATCGTCATCATCATCATTATCATTAACACCGTCATCATCATTGGTGTTAGAGCCTGGTTCTAGTTCTCCAGAAGGTGGAAGCAAACTTCCATCTGGATTGGACACATCAAGTTCTTCACTTATTCTTTCTATTATCTCAGCGAGTCTTTCTGCAGGAATCGGTGCAATGGAATGCCTCCATTCTTCATCATGACCTCCTTCACTCACTGACCAAATGAAACCAACCCCGCCATCCCCAACCTGATAATAGGCAGTCAGAGGTTAGAGAAGTTATGTGAGTCTGTTGACAAGTTTGCAGCACTGATGTTGGTTGGCTCAGTATGGAAAAGCTGGAATCTGAAAAAGTTAAGTTTCTGCAAGACTGCACATGGGATGAAAAAGTGAAAAATGATCAACATTAACAGGCGTCTGGCTCCCTTTATTTCTCGGTCTGAAAGAAATTGACAACNGCCCCACCCCCCCCCCCCCCTTACACGGCAGAAAACTCCCTCTCTTCTTCCCCATTCTACATCCCCTCCTTAACAATCATTATTATGAATATGTTATGACTGATGGAAAAAGGCTGAAATAGAACTCCGCCTTCTAAATTGAAGAATACTCCGTACTACATAAAGGCTCGAGCAAAATAGAATATCAGGCCCAATATGAAACCAAAGGCTATTAAATGTTGGTGACATATCGTATCACGGTTACAAGGTTACAAAAGTCTCACTCTTCACATATCACCATAATAACTGTTTCCAAATTTTCAAAAGGCTATATCATGTAACTTGTAAGTAATGTATCCCCTATAATTACAGAGGACTTATGTGCCATCTATATCCATCATCTACAATGGAGCCGAAGTTTCACTATTTTTGGCTTTGGGGTATGATAGAATAAAGCAAAATGACTCTTTACACTGTCTGCCCTCATCATGGGTCATTTGAAAACAGCCGCTCTGTGTTCTAAACATAGCAGTCAGACTACACAAATCCAACCCCCCAACCCTGCAATGGGAGGGAGCCTTTGACGCACTGGGGTAGTTTTGTTGTTGTTGTTTTGTGCTATCTATACGACTATACCAGCAATCTGATTGTCACTGGAGATAGGGTAAGCGGGAAACAAACCTCAGATGCAATCAAAAGCTGAGACTCGGACAAGTCCGTCCTAAAATCTTCAATTGATTTTTCTGCTGTATCAGATAACGCTGCACATGTCAACAGATACAGATGTGATATATGAATGAAGAAAATCTGCCAACACGAAAAAGAATCAAATAGTTTCTGTAAATACATCCATAATAAATCCATACAGGTTTTGCCATATACAGAGAAAAGCACACATAAACTGAAAAGAAAACAGTTGCCTGGTAGCATCTTATGAATTACCATGTGTAATTTGGAAAGAGATCAAAAATTCATTTTTATGTCCAGATAGAATTAAAAGCAAGAAATTAGTCACTTTCACAAGGCAGATCCCAGGTAAATTGTGTTTAAATCATAATTCTCAGTTATGATGCTTGGACAAAAGAAGAGAGCTGCAGTCACTTGTACAGTTGTACTCTACATTTACTATATCATTGGCAGCCATGTAAGGACAGAACAAGTCCTACAATCCTGAACCATTGCCTTGTTTAGCTATGACTTTTATCAAGTATAAATATTCTGGTAGAGACAATAAGACTGAATTAGAGGGAAAGGAACTTACATTGGTTTTCCTTTATGCTACTGCTACTATCAGCATATTCGAGTTCCTCATCACTATCTTCTATAATTGGTTGCTGGAGTAAAGACACCTTTGAGTAAGAAGGAACAACAAAACGTTGACCAATGACAACCTGAAAGGCATAAAGTTGTTTGCTACACCATTAAATTTGAGAAAGATTGACGTCCACAAAGCTCATACGCGGCATAATGCGATGGGTGGAAGACTACCTTGAAGGAAAATATAGCACCAGGTTTCAAAACTGCTCCAGACCTCAATACTACACCATCACATACTATTGCGTGCTTCAGTTGACACTCATCTTCTACTGTGACATTTTGCCATATGTAGCAACCATCTATTGAAACATTTGATCCAATCTTACAACCCTCTCCAACAACTGAATTTGAAATTACACTGTTGTTTCCAATAGTAGTGCCCTTCCCAATAACGGTAAAAGGGCCAATTTGTGCAGAACGTGACTGTACAATATCTGAAAAAATACGATGAGATCTGTCAATGTAAAAAGCTCAGCATACACGTATTTCATTTCAAACATAAAATGCTAAATGAATTTACTTGGCTGGCATAGCAGTGTTCATACAAAATACCTCAAAACGTCATTTAAGCTTTAAATAGAGGTAGAAGGGAAGAGATAACTTATAATGCCATGAGTAGGCACAGGAATTGGACGGCACAAGGAATTGAAGGTATATAGATTGCCAGTGCAATACTAACAAAAGTACTAATCAAATATAATTTCAGAACTTAATTTTATACCTGATGCTCGATACATTCCACGCCTTTCAAGTTTAGAAGCAGAATTTCCAAAGAAAGGGACATCAGGCACCAATGGATAGGTCCATCTCTGAATAATATCTTTGCTAATTGTGTCATAGCTTCGGTAATTCTCAATCCTGGCCGCATAACTTGAATGAATTTCATAAGTGTAAATCTTGTAACCCATAATCTGTAAGTTAAAGGATAAATTAAAACAATCAGATACAGTGAGAGATTAAAGACACTTGAGTGCATAAAGATGGCAAACTTGAAAAGAAAAACAGAGCAGCAAGACTTTAATCATTTTTTATTATCACCCATCAAGATATATATTGGAGACATAGTAAGGCATCGCCTAGGCTATAAGGCGCTGTCACTGAGACGCCTTGTCTGCTCGCCTCGCCTAAAAAACCTTAAGGCGATCAGGCGCTCGCCTTACCTCGCCTTGATGCCTTGGGCCCCTTTAAAATTTTGAAAAAAACAGTGCAGCCCAATTGCTTTTAGTGTAGCCTAATAGACTTAAACTTATCTTCTCTCTCTCTCGGTCTTCTCTGTCTCGATCAAGCTTCCTTAAAATGTATAAGATATGTGTGTGTGTGTGTGTGTGTGTGTGTGTGTGTGTGTGTGTGTGTGTGTGTGTATGTATGCATGTATGTCACCTAGGCGTGCGCCTATAAGCCTAGCCGATATGAAGGTACATTGGCGCCTCGCCTTGCCGCCTTACAAACTATGATTAGAGAAACTCAAAACATAGACAGATTAATACTCCCTCCGTCCTAAAACCATCTTCCCACTTCCTCATTTTCATTGTCCTAAAACTACCTTCCCACATCCTAAAAAAGGGTGTGAAATGACTATCTTACCCTTCAACTATCTTACCCTTCTCTCTCCCTCTTCTCTTCGTCTCTCTCTCACTGGCCCAGGTATGTTTTTTTTCTTTTTCTCTTCCTTCCCAGATCCGATCGTGGATCTACCTTCCCATGTCTCTTTCTCTTTTTTCTCTTTTTTCTCCTTTTCTCTTTTTCTCTTCCTTCCCCGAGCCAACTCTTCCTCTCTTCTTCTCTTTCTTCCCCGATCCGATCGTGGATCTAATTTTGACGCCCAACTTCAATGGTCAGATTTGTTTTCCGGTCAGATCTGTTTCTTTGCTGGATCGATAGTGCCTAACTTTAACCGGTCAGATCTAATCTTTTCCGTCCAAGTTCTCCCCAATCCGATCGCATATCTAATCCGATTAGATTTGTTTAGATGGCTCTAAGTTCGACAAGTGGTGCCGGCAGCACAGCGGCAAAACATACTCCTCCGATCAAGAGAGGCGGCGCCGGCTGAAGGTGTTCGACGACAACTACGCCTACGTCTCGCGGCACAATGGCGCCGGTAATTCCAGCTACACCCTCGCCCTCAACGCCTTCGCACATCTCACTCACCACCAGTTCAAGCCGGCAGATCAAGGGGGGTATTTTTGGAAGTCAAAGCCATAATTATCCATCCCTTAAAAATGACCTTTAGTCAAAGTGGGAAGATCAATATAGGACGGAGGGTATATATCAACCAACCATGGAAAGGGAATGGGCAATTGGGAAGATGGCAGATTTTTTTTCAAACGTAAAAAGCTAATATGAAAATGTTGTGCTGACAATCAAAGTCATCCTGCATAAAATTAACAAGAAAAGACATACCACAGCAAAGAGTAGTCACAAAAAGAAACATTAACAGAAATCTTCTCTTTCATATGCAAGCATTGCATACATGACGAGAAGAAAAACCAAAGACTATATAAACTACAACAACAATAACAACCTAGTGTAATCCCACAAAAGTACGGTCTGGGGAGGGTGGGTGTACGCAGACCTTGCCCCTACTTGAAAGTAGAGAGGATGTTTCCAAGAGACCCCTAACTCAGGCAAAAAAAGACTATATAAACTAGTGAAAAAAAATTAAAAATGGATTCTTAGGTGCAGACATCTGACATAAACAAGCCAGACATACATCATCAACTAGCAGCCCCTTCACAAAGTGTCGACGGAGATGTTGATAGTCAAAGTTGTCGTTGAAAAGACTCAAGACTTCTGGAGAGCAAATGTCAATGTAGCAATCCTGCAACAAACAATTGTTCATTAATCACAACGAATGTGGGTACTGTAAAAGTGCTCAACTCATTTGAATTGGGGTTGACACCTAAGGAGATGAATCAGAGAACACCTAAAGTACACAGGAACCTCATCAGCACTTTGCGTCAACATCACAGAGAAACCAGAAAAGCCACCTAGGCCCTCATACTGAGTTTTTTATAAGATGTGAAAGGACTCCGGTTATGGTAAAAGTTAAATAGCCAACGAATAGTGACAAACATGGAACTAACTACACATTCAGATTAAAATGGCACTTATTGTCCTTTCATTCATTCAAATTTGAGGGGGAGTGTAATATGATGTATTATTTAGTAGTATGCAACCCTTTTCGGTCCTTTGCTTTCCTATTGATTCGTATATGCCTGGAAAATAAGATTTGATTTAATTGCCTTATCCTTTAAAAAAAGAATAACTTCAAAAGCTTAGGGCCCTCTTTCTCGGGATGAAATCACCATTGTTCAGAGCTACAAGCTAAAACAGAAAGAACTTGGCCAGTACTTGGTCACGTGACTCCCTGTACTATGTAATCTTGTTCGCTCAATGCTTTCTCTTCTCTCTAGTAACTTTCTAAACTGGGATATTTCAATAGCATATGTAGCTAAAGTTGAAAAGAATCATGTGAAAAATATAAAACCTGTTTGTCATTGTGAACAGTGATTGTCAGATTATCAGCAAGAAAGGCTTTATCGAGACATATAGAGCCCTTCCGGTTTTCAGCCTTATCTTCATAGTAGAGAAGCTGCTTGGTACCAGGTTCAATAGCCATAAACAGCTCATCTGTTCCAAGACGAGACTGTCGAGTTACAGGAGAAGGTTTTGATCGCTGGATGACCATGGTCATTATAGCATTGCTATCCTTCTTCTTACGTTCTTTATGCTCTTTTACTGCTTCATTCAGAGGCATGTTGCTAACCGTATCTCCACTAACCAAAACGAAATCACCACGAATCTTAACATGCAAAAAAGAGAACAAAAGATATATGTAAGATGCCTTGTTCAGAATACTAAACCTTAGAACTGATAGAGTAGTATGACAATCGTATCAACTGTAACCAAGTTCCGCTGACTCGGTTTACATATTACTTTTCTGTAATTCGAAGTCTGATGAAACCAATAAACATTGGGACTTTTTTTCTTTGCTTTTCAAATACGCAATACTCAGGATTTATAAGTAAAATATGGGAATTTCTCACCCATTTCATATTCTTTACCAAAAATACCAGGACCAAAAAAACGAAGAGGAAGGTAGAACAAACATAGGAACAGACAGTGCAACTAAGGCTCATGGCATTCTCTATATCCCTTTTGTAAGAAAAGACCACCAGAGGAGTGTTCGCCTTATAAAAAACAATTTCAGTAAAGTGCAATTTGACATAAAGAATATAAAAAAATCCCGAATAAACAAATCATACTTACCACATGACGGTCATAGATCATACGCAAAGCATCCCCAGCACTAACAGCATTGTGAGATTCTATTGTCATGACATAGAAATTTGGTTGGTTTAACCACTTGGACTCCTTCAAGTAATTGATCACTTGTTTGGAGTGCGCACAACAGAAGACAAATACTTCTTCAACCCCAGCAGATTCAAGCCATGCTAGGGTGTAATCAATCATAGGGACATTGACAAGAGGAAGCAGCACCTTCAAAGTAACAGTGGGGGAATCATATACGAATCATCACGGCGACATTAGGTTTTAGAATTACAAACATAATCAGGCTCAAGATAGATGCACCATAAACTCTTAAAAACAAACAACTACAAATTACACAGGAAGAGTTGCGTACAGTGAAGAGCCCTTTACAATTACATAGGTACAGACAAAGTTGGCGGGTTGTGCGTACCTTGGGGCGCTCAAGAGTGATGGGGCGGAACTTAGTGGCGAAGCTATCGGCCAATAGGACGGCTTGAAGAGGGGCACGTGTCAGATCATCCTCTGCATCTTCCGACCCTCCCCTGTTTCCTCCGCTCTTCTTCGCCACCATCTTTGATCTTCTGCACCGGCGAAGCCTTCTCCTTCGTATCCAACCCCAGCCTCCGGGTAACCTTTTGAACGGGCCTCTACCCTCCTTCCCCAGTTCCCCGATTGTTTGGTTAGAGCACTAAGTAGATTTTTTAAAACAAGTTATTTTCAGTTTCTCCCAGTTCCAGTTTCTTACCGTTCATTCAGTTTCTTTCAACTATTTTTATTTTCTTCAAACTATTTCTACTTTCCTATACCTAGAGCACTAGGTATAGTAATGTGCACATTACTATACCTTTTGGTAATGTACATGGTCATGTTTAGTAATGTATTTTAAGTCCTATTTCGTGAATAAAAACATGAAAATCCTACTCCCTCCGTTCTAAAAAAAGAGTTTCTATTTTGACCAAGTGTAAAAATAAGGAAGTTTTAAATTAAACTTCCTTCATTCTCAAAAACACTTCCTCTTTCATTTTTCCACTTTTAACAAAAACACTTCCCCTTTCTATAGAAAAATCACTTTTACCCTTACTTTTTCATACCATACCCATCATATCATATTTTTTCTATAATAATCTATTCATCACATCTTACTTTTATCCATCACATCAAGGGCAAAATTGGAAATCAACTACAATTTAACACTTCCTTATTTTTACACTTTGTCAAACTACGAACTCTTTTTGAGAACGGATGAAGTAGGTGATTTCCAATTTTGCCATTGATATGATGGGTAAAGTAAGATGTGATGGATAGATTATTAGATAAAAAGTATGAAATGATAGGAAGGGTATGAAAAGGTAAGGGTAGAAGTGGTTTTTTAATAAAAAGTGGAAGTGTATTGTTGGAAGTGGAAAAAAATGAAAGTGAAAGTGTTTTTGATAACAGAAGGAGTATTTTGGTATATTTTCAATGTTTTACTCCTATTATGGTCTTTCTCCCAAAATGGAATGAGGGTGGGGAGTACTACATTATTAAAACCAAGAGAGAACTACATTTTGAAAAAGAAAAAATGACTCAAAAAGTATAGAAAAGAAATTCAGATAACAAATAATATCACAAATAATAAAAATACAGTTTTGGGTTGAGCGGAGGATTGCCCATTAAAACCTCATTTTCTTTTGCACGACCTTATCTCCCATGCCCAACTCAATGGTCAGAAGGATCGTCCCTTCTCCTTCATTGGAATCTCCAGTGAACCCAGACAGTGGAGTTTTCAACGGTTCAAGTTGTGTTTGACACAGCTTGAGTTTTTCGAACGCTTCCAAGTATAGGATGTTGACACTGCTGCTCGTGTCAACAAGTACCCAAGAAACATCCACTCCATCAAGGACCTAGGTGAATTCTCTCTCCACCCCTTCAAAGTTCATTTTTTCGAGTCTTATGGCATTATGCCCGGTCAGTTGGCCCCCAATGGTCACCATATCCTTAGCACTTTCATCAACGTCTGCCGCTTTCTTTGCATTCTTCTTTCTCTCCATCTTTTCAACCATATGATTGATGTGCGGCCCCGATCCAAGGAGACCCTTGGATTCGTCGTAGTATCCTCCCATCAGGGACGAGCTTTCCTTTTTAGTTTCCCCCTTCAAACAAAGGGTGGAAATCAAAATACGTCTCAATCACCTTGATACCTGCAAGGGGGAAGGGAGAACCGGTCGTGGCACAGAGGTTGTGCGTGGCTAGGGTTTTGGAGGGAGGAGACGTGAGAGAGAGAGAGAATAAGGGAGAGAGGAGACTTTTCTTATTACTTGAGTTGTTGAAAGAGTTCAACACCCTTTAAATAACAATTAGTTTCTCCCAATCCTACTTGAAATAGGTTATCTATCTTGTCGGTTCAAGAAAAGCGACGAGGTAAAGAACTTAAAAGAAACCCTCAAAGGAGCTTATATTTTGCTCACCTAAGAAAATCTAAATTACAATAAATAAAAGTAGGAAAGAATTAAATATAATCCGAATAATGTTTAGGGGCCCGAATAGACTGCTTTGGACGAACGCGTTGTAGAGCCGAACGATCTGCCGTGTCGATATGATCGAGGACAACCCCCGTATCAACTCCCCCTAGTCGGAAACGGCCTTGTCCTCAAGGCCAAGAACTGGGAAATGGTGTTTGACGTCGGCAACGGGTTCCCATGTACTGTCTTCCGGTCCGCCATCCGACCAACGGATCAGCCACTGGTATTGTGGGAAGCCATCCACCAAAACGGTCCGTGCAGCAAGTGCCTTCACTTGGACCACTGATATCATCATCATCATTTATATATATAAAGTTGAGCGGCTTAAATGCGGTAATGACATGTGTCACGCCACATTTACACATTTGTAGCACGTGTCATGCCACATGTGTATCACATGCCACATCACATGCGATGCATGCGTATTCATTTTTATATTAAATAATTATTATTTTTATTATATTTTATAAATCCTTTCTTTTATATACTTTCACTTTCTAACTTTATTAACAATTTTTATATTATATTTTCATCGTTGTAAAAAATTTTAAAATGCGAAAACTAATCTCATTAATTTTAAAAATGTTAAATAAGTTTTGTTTTTTTTATAATTTTTTTAATAAGTTTTTAAAAGTATTCACCATTTAAAAATAACTATTATTATTGTTTAATTTTTATAGGCTCTTCACTTTCTAACATTAAATAACCATTTTTGTTATAAACCCTTCACTTTCTAACTATTTTACCAAAAACTTTTTCATTACTTAAATATATGCATCATTGTTTCATTATTTTAAAAAATTATATAAAATTTATACTTCGTATTACTTCTTGATGGTGTAAATTACATAACCGAGTAAACAGTACTAGATTGGGTCTAGGGTCATTCACTGGATTCTAGAAAGTAAAAGGTGAAAACGCACAAATTAACTAGGATGAATGTAGGTGGAAGCACCTCTAGCCCAATTGTTATTTGAATATAGTAGAGTTTACGGGAGCTTTTACACAAGAGTTTTAGTGAGAAGAAATAGGATCCCTTTCTTTGATGGTTACACAAGTATTTATAGCAAAGGGGAGGGGAGAGGACGCCGCGCGTCCACGACGTCCCACATCCCTTGTTGGTGTGAGGTGGCTTCATTGCTTTGTCTTGTTGTGTTTTGTCACATACCCTTGTCGTTTTGTGCTGGTGACTTCTCCTTCTCCTTGTAGTGCTCAACAGAGATTGAGGGAATTGTCAGACTTCTCTCTTCTCAAAGTTTCCTGTTTCCAGCTAGTGTCCAAGCTTCCTCTTGCTTCAGCCAGAGTTTAGCTTGAGGGGGGATGTTAGACAATAATACTAATAGTACTTCTTGTAGTATTGGTTATGGTAATGTTTCATTATTAGTCAGCTTCCTAATCCTATTTGTGGTAGATGTTGTATTTTAGTTAGACTTCATTCTTTATTCCTAATTGTGTTAGGAGTCTCTCCTATATATACTCTATCATGTACTCCATAATTAAATGAGCAATATTATTATTCCAATATTTCAACATGGTATCGGAGCCACCGCTCTTGGTCACCTAAAAAAAAGTTCTTTGCTCCCACCGCTGCCGCCGGTAATTCCGGCGACGGCGGCTCCACCTTATTCACCTCTATTTTCTTTTCTTTCGTTTATCCTCAAGTTAACATCTCCATTAACAAAAAAGAAAAAAAATTTCCCTTGTTGAAATCATAAAAAAACCATCAAAGGAAAAATCTTTTGTCATCTCCATGGTTCTTCAAAAAAAACCCCAACTCCTCTCATACTCTCTCAATTCATCCTTGTATCTTCTCAAAATCATCGGAAAAAAATGATAGTTGTTTCTCTACAATTCACTACAGAAGATTCTTAGACCTAGATCTTTTCTTCATCACCAATTCTTAATCCCTTTTTTTTTCTTTCAAATCTTTCATTCTAATCATCAATGTTTCTTCTCTTTATCCTTTGTTAACCAATAAAATTTCAAAAAAAAAACACAAAAGCAAAGCCAAGAAGGGTAGTGAAAGATGAAAGAATACCTCTACACCCCTTCAGGAAAGAAATAGGGCATTGCCCGGATCCAAGAAAAAAACAAAGAATGTCAAGGATCTTCAGTCAAACAGGCACCTCCAGTAGCCTTCTCTATTCTTCTTCGACGCCAGCAGCTACCAACCCACGTCAATCTTCTTTCTTCTTCATCGACGTCAATTTCTCTCTTCTCTAACGACGTTAGCAGCTACCAGTGCACGTCATACTTCTCTCTTCTCCAACGACGTCAGCAGCCACCGGCGCACGTCAGACTTGTCTCTTCTCCAACGACGTCAGCAGCCACCGGCGCACGTCAGACTTGTCTCTTCTTCAACGACGTGAGCAGCCACCGGTGCATGTCAAACTTCTCTCTTCTCAAAGTTTCCAGTTTCCAGCTAGTGTCCAAGCTTTCTCTTGTTTCAGCCAGAGTTCAGCTTGAGGGGGGATGTTAGACAATAAAACTAATATTACTTCTGGTAGTATTGGTTATGGTAGTGTTTCATTGTTAGTCAGCTTCCTAATCCTATTTGTAGTAGATGTTGTATGTTAGTTAGTTTCCATTCTCTATTCCTAGTTGTGTTAGGAATGTCTCCTATATATACTCTATCATGTATTTCATAATTAAATGAGCAATATTATTATTCCAATATTTCAACATGGTATCAGAGCCACCGCTCTTGGTGACCTAAAAAAAGATCTTTGCTCCCACCACCGCCGCCGGTAATTGCAGCGACGACGGCTCCACCCTATTCACCTCTATTTTCTTTTTATTCTTTATCCTCAAATCAACTTCTCCATTCAAATGAAAAAAAAGAAAAAAAACCCTTGTTGAAATCACATAAAAAAACTATCAAAAGAGGAACTTCTCCCTTGTTATCTCCATGAATCTTCAAAAAAAACCCAACTCCTCACAAAAAGAAAAAAAAATAATTGTTGTTTCTCTCCAATTCACCATATCAAAATCTCATACCCAAATTTTTTTTTCTATCTCCAATTCTTAACCTACTTTTTCTCTCTAAAATCACTCATTCTAATCATCAACCTCTCTTCTCTTTCTTTTCTGTTGAACCAATAAAAATCCAAAGTAAATCAGCACAAAAGCAAAGCCAAGAGGGGAAGTAGTGAAAGAGGAAATAA